TGCTTGTGTTGGTGGGGAGAGATGGGGGAGGGAGACTGGTGTTGGCTTGTGTAGGTGGGGAAAATGGGGGGGGGAGCCTGGTGTTGGCTTGTGTAGGTGGGAAGAGATGACGGAGGGAGGCTGGTGTTGGCTTGTGTTGGTGGGGAGAGATGGGGGGAGGGAGGCTGGCGTTGGCTTGTGTAGGTGGGGAGAGATGACGGAGGGAGGCTGGTTTTGTCTTGTGTAGGTGGGGAGAGATGGGGGGAGGGAGGCTGGTGTTGGCTTGTGTAGGTGGGAAGAGATGACGGAGGGAGGCTGGTGTTGTCTTGTGTAGGTGGGGAGAGATGGGGGAGGGAGGCTGGTGTTGGCTTGTGTAGGTGGGGAGAGATGGGGGGAGGGAGGCTGGCGTTGGCTTGTGTTGGTGGGAAGAGATGACGGAGGGAGGCTGGTGTTGTCTTGTGTAGGTGGGAGAGAGATGGGGGGAGGGAGGCTGGTGTTGGCTTGTGTAGGTGGGAAGAGATGACGGAGGGAGGCTGGTGTTGTCTTGTGTAGGTGGGGAGAGATGGGGGGAGGGAGGCTGGTGTTGGCTTGTGTAGGTGGGGAGAGATGGGGGGAGGGAGGCTGGCGTTGGCTTGTGTAGGTGGGGAGAGATGACGGAGGGAGGCTGGTGTTGTCTTGTGTAGGTGGGGAGAGATGGGGGGAGGGAGGCTGGTGTTGGCTTGTGTAGGTGGGGAGAGGAGGAGGAGGGAGGCTGGTGTTGGCTTGTGTAGGTGGGAAGAGATGACGGAGGGAGGCTGGTGTTGGCTTGTGTAGGTGGGGAGAGGTGAGGGAAGGGAGGCTGGTGTTGGCTTGTGTAGGTGGGAAGAGATGACGGAGGGAGACTGGTGTTGGCTTGTGTAGGTGGGGAGAGATGGCGGAGGGAGTCTGGTGTTGGCTTGTGTAGGTGGGAAGAGATGACGGAGAGAGGCTGGTGTTGGCTTGTGTTGGTGGGGAGAGATGGGGGGAGGGAGACTGGTGTTGGCTTGTGTAGGTGGGGAGAAATGGGGGAGGGAGCCTGGTGTTGGCTAGTGTAGGTGGGAAGAGATGACGGAGGGAGGCTGGTGTTGGCTTGTGTTGGTGGGAAGAGATGGGGAGGAGGCTGGTGTTGGCTTGTGTAGGTGGGGAGAGATCAGGAGGGAGGCTGGTGCTGGCATGTGTAGGTGGAAGAGATGGGGAGGAGGCTGGTGTTGGCTTGTGTAGGTGGGAAGAGATGGGAAGGGAGGCTGGTGTTGGCTTGTGTAGGTGGGGAGAGATGGGGAGGGAGGCTGGTGTTGGCTTGTGTAGGTGGGAAGAGATGACGGAGGGAGGCTGGTGTTGGCTTGTGTAGGTGGGGGGAGGTGGGGGGAGGGAGGCTGGTGTTGGCTTGTGTAGGTGGGAAGAGATGACGGAGAGAGGCTGGTGTTTGCTTGTGTTGGTGGGGAAAGATGGGGGAGGGAGACTGGTGTTGGCTTGTGTAGGTGGGGAGAAATGGGGGAGGGAGCCTGGTGTTGGCTTGTGTAGGTGGGAAGAGATGACGGAGGGAGGCTGGTGTTGGCTTGTGTTGGTGGGGAGAGATGGGGGGAGGGAGGCTGGCGTTGGCTTGTGTAGGTGGGGAGAGATGACGGAGGGAGGCTGGTTTTGTCTTGTGTAGGTGGGGAGAGATGGGGGGAGGGAGGCTGGTGTTGGCTTGTGTAGGTGGGAAGAGATGACGGAGGGAGGCTGGTGTTGTCTTGTGTAGGTGGGGAGAGATGGGGGGAGGGAGGCTGGTGTTGGCTTGTGTAGGTGGGGAGAGATGGGGGGAGGGAGGCTGGCGTTGGCTTGTGTTGGTGGGAAGAGATGACGGAGGGAGGCTGGTGTTGTCTTGTGTAGGTGGGGAGAGATGGGGGGAGGGAGGCTGGTGTTGGCTTGTGTAGGTGGGAAGAGATGACGGAGGGAGGCTGGTGTTGTCTTGTGTAGGTGGGGAGAGATGGGGGGAGGGAGGCTGGTGTTGGCTTGTGTAGGTGGGGAGAGATGGGGGGAGGGAGGCTGGCGTTGGCTTGTGTAGGTGGGGAGAGATGACGGAGGGAGGCTGGTGTTGTCTTGTGTAGGTGGGAGAGATGGGGAGGAGGCTGGTGTTGTCTGTGTAGGTGGGAGAGATGGGGGGAGGGAGGCTGGTGTTGTCTTGTGTAGGTGGGGAGAGATGGGGGGAGGGAAGCTGGTGTTGGCTTGTGTAGGTGGGTAGAGATTGGAGAGGGACGTGAGTCTCGAACTTAGGTTTACTCTTGATCTGTGGAATAGGAGTTAAGTTCAATGGATGTTTTATTATCAAGTCTGTAGGAAAAAATGAGGAGAATGAATAGAATATATTAAACAAATAGAACATATAAAAGAAGATTTAATAGAAGATTTAAAAGAAGATTTAATAGAAGATGTAACAGAAGATATAATAGAAGATATAATGGAATATATTTAGTTGTGAAAGCTTTTAAAATTTTATTATATATCAGGTTTATTCTAAAATTTTAGTGAATTTATTCTGACATTGTATAATTAGGGATGAATAATTTATTGAAAAATTGAAATTTTACAAATTTTATTTACATTACCAAGAGGTAAATTTAGAGATAGGACTTAAAAAAATTATATATATATATATACATATACATATATATATATATATATATATATATATATATAATATATATATATATATATATATATATATATATATATATATATATATATATATATATATATATATATATATATATATATATATATATATATATATATATATATATATATATATATATGATTTATTCTAAAATTTTGAGTGATGTTATGTGAAGTAATAAAGAAAAGACTTATATTAGGATAATTAGACTATAGGAATGAGGTGAAATTTAAGTAAATGAAGAATTAGACATGACCGTGAAGACTGGTGAAGTAGACATGACAGAGGGGGGAGGGGAAGTGTGAGGGAAGGCCCCCCCCCCTGTGTCGGTTGGTGGGGGAACACTATTGCTGAGTCACACATTACATTGTAGTGTGATCCAGGGCGTTGGAGCTGGGTGTGAAGGTGGGGTAGGTTGTCACTGAGAGAGGAACTCTGTGGTGGGTTGTGTAGGTGGGGGAGGTGAGGGGGAGGTGAAGGGGAGGAAAGTGAGTCTTGGTCTTTGATGGGCTCTAGATCCGAGGAAATAGAGTTTGGTTGGTCCTGGAGGTGGAGGGGAAGTGTGATCTAGGGGGATTGATTTAGAAAAGCGGTGATGGAGAAGGGGTGATGCAATGGAGGAAGGTTGATAAGAGAGATAAGATAAGATTTTGTTCGGATTTTTAACCCCGGAGGGTTAGCCACCCAGGATAACCCAAGAAAGTCAGTGCGTCATCGAGGACTGTCTAACTTATTTCCATTGGGGTCCTTAATCTTGTCCCCCAGGATGCGACCCACACCAGTCGACTAACACCCAGGTACCTATTTGCTGCTAGGTGAACAGGACAACAGGTGTAAGGAAACGTGTCGAAATGTTTCCACCCGTCGGGAATCGAACCCGGGCCCTCCGTGTGTGAAGCGGGAGCTTTAGCCACCAGGCCACCGGGCCTGAGAACATGGTTATGGAAGGGATAATAGAGGGGGACAGCGTGTAGGGCTTAATGAAGGAAGGGTAATAGAGGGGGCAGGGTGTAGGGGGCTACGGAAACGGGAATCTTGAAGTTATATGAATTCTTGATCCAAGGAGTAGGAGCATGGATGGTCCTGGAGGTTTAGGATAGGGGGAGGGAGGTTTAGGGAAAGTGAGTAGGGTAGGGGGAGGAAGGTTTAGGGATAGTGAGTAGGGTAGGGGAGGGAGGTTTAGGGATAGTGAGTAGGGTAGGGGAGGGAGGTTTAGGGAAAGTGAGTAGGGTAGTGGGAGGGAGGTTTAGGGAAAGTGAGTAGGGTAGTGGGAGGGAGGTTTAGGGAAAGTGAGTAGGGTAGGGGAGGGAGGTTTAGGGAAAGTGAGTAGGGTAGTGGGAGGGAGGTTTAGGGAAAGTGAGTAGGGTAGGGGAGGGAGGTTTAGGGAAAGTGAGTAGGGTAGGGGGAGGGAGGTTTAGGGATAGTGAGTAGGGTAGTGGGAGGGAGGTTTAGGGAAAGTGAGTAGGGTAGGGGAGGGAGGTTTAGGGAAAGTGAGTAGGGTAGTGGGAGGGAGGTTTAGGGAAAGTGAGTAGGGTAGGGGAGGGAGGTTTAGGGATAGTGAGTAGGGTAGTGGGAGGGAGGTTTAGGGAAAGTGAGTAGGGTAGGGGAGGGAGGTTTAGGGAAAGTGAGTAGGGTAGGGGGAGGGAGGTTTAGGGAAGGTGAGGAGGGTAAGGGGAGGAAGGCTTAGGGAAGGTGAGGAGGGTAGGGGAGGGAGGCTTAGGGAAGGTGAGGAGGGTAGGGAACTTCGGGAGGGGAGTGTGGGGGAGGAAGGTAATTACAAATTAATAAAAAAAAAAATCTTGGGAAATGATCTCAGACACAACGCTCAATTATTTCGAATTACAACCCCACCTCCACACACACAAAATCACGTCTCAGTGTGACCAGTCATACAGCCGCCCCCGTTTCGGGGGTCCGGGAGCTAAACCTTAAGAGGCAACTGCTCAGAAGAACCTTTTTTCTGGGCTATCCTCCAAAAATTCATACCTTAGTCCGACCTCCCAAAATACCCTTCCCCCTGAAAGTTAGTCACTCTGGGACTTACTCTCGACTGGTTCTTGACCCCTTCATCATGTTGCCATGTTGTGTCAGACTATGTTGTGTGACCACTTGACCAAGTTGTGTCAGACTATGTTGTGTGACCACTTGACCAAGTTGTGTCAGACTATGTTGTGTGACCACTTGACCAAGTTGTGTCAGACTATGTTGTGTGACCACTTGACCAAGTTGTGTCAGACTTTGTTGTGTGACCACTTGACCAAGTTGTGTGACCTAGTTGCGTCATGATAATTTACACATACACGCGTCCTTTATTATATATACACAAGCAATACTGTCAGTATTATTTTACCTCTTACTTAACGCAGGAACAAGTGGACTGTCCTTCTGACCGATCATTGACAACATTATCAGCAGGAACTCTTCTCTAGACTCGTAAAATGAACACTGACCTGAAACAATTTATTGATATTAATTTGATTTCATCCTGACAAGTCTCAGTAGGCGCACACATCCACACACACACATCCACACACACACACACACACACACACACACACACACACACACACACACACACACACACACACACACACATGGGGCAGGGAGAGAGAGGACCTAGTAGCAATCAGCGAAGAGGCGGGGCCAGGAGCCATGAATCGACCCCTGCAACCACAAATAGGTGAGTACAAATAGGTGAGTACACACACACACACACAAACACACACACACACACACACACACACACACACAGGATGTTCCACAGATGGGATACAGAAACAAGGGGTCACAGTTGTAAGTTGAAGACTCAGTTATGTCACGGGATGTTAGGAAGTATTTCTTCAGTCATAGAATTGTCAGGAAGACGAACAGTCTAGCAAGTGATGTAGTGGTGGAAGGAACCATACATAGTTTTAAGACGAGGTATGATACAGCTCATGGAGCAGGGAGAGGACCTAGTAGCGGTCAGTGAAGAGGCGGGGCCAGGAGCTGAATCTTGACCCCTGCAATCACAAACAGGTGAGTACACTCCCACACACACACACACACACACACACACACACACACACACACACACACACACACCTCAGGCACTGTACTACATAATAACTTATAGCCTGACTAACTACAGACTAATATGAGAATATCGACCATGGGCAGAATTTGTCTCTTCATCATCTGGCTGCTTTTAAAGAACTCTACGACCTATTCATTTGACTGTTCGGAAACAGCAGGGAAAATAAATTTGCAGGGAAAATAAATTTGAAATCAAAAGAAAGGCATTCATTATGCAGGGAAAGAAAAGAGATGTTTAGATGGTATCCCTTCAAATTTGACAATAGTAAATTTGAAAAGCGAAATGAACGAGGAATGTGAAAGAAAGATGAATACTATACAAAGAAAAGATGTAAATGTATTTAAAAGAAAGGGATTATGAATGACCTGTGACCTTGTCGCAATGACCTGTGACCTGGTCACAATAGGTTTTGGACCAAAAAAAAAAAAAAAATAAAAAAAACCTCAGCAGATAGACTATAAATTGCATTTCCTTCACCAGATATAATTCACCAGATATATACTTATGTACACTATGTACAGAGGTTGAATAGTAAGTGTACCACACGACGGTGACAGAAAGGCAAAAGCAAAAGCCAGAGAGAGAGCACCGTACTCAACCAGCAGGTAGGCAAGTCTGACAAATGCTGACCACAGGCGAGCTCGCCTGTAATTGGTCAATGAACCAAGGTACTGATTTAATGACGGGTCCCCCAATAATCGTTAAACCCTTAGCACCCGGTTTGCTGGTTGGGAGACAGCCTATATGGGAGTATGACATACACTGAATAAATTGTAACATACTCTTTGCATGCCACAGGGATGAAAGGTTAGGATGGGACAAAGGGCAACTGCTGCGGAAGATAGAGCTCAAAGACTAAAAAAAATATCAATTCTGAAAGAAACTCTGAAAAAGACTTGAGTGGAAGGGTGTAAAAGGGCAGATATAATAAAGGGAAAAGCAGAACTATTAGATGAATTTAGAAAGTAAGACAAATAAATTACCATAGCCAAGATGCTCACGAGAGTCATGGGAAGTGATAAGAGAGAAAACATGGAAACCAATAACCACAGACAAGGTAACTTGGATGGAATGATTGTGAAAGAAATAGGGAGTTAATTTGTGAAATATATGTATATGAGGATGATGGTGATTACAGTAATAAATGAAAGTAATGGATGAGAGGAAATTTAGCGCAGATGAATAATATTAATAATAGGGACGTACTCCCAAAGCTAATAATGGCCTCTCAAATTATCCATCTGGTCTGGATCACCTCGAAATCAGATCTAGAGATAGAGAACATTCTTGAGAAGCACATCAAAACATAATCATGTTTCCTTGGATCAGAAGAGAACAGAATTGGAGAAGGAACAGTCGATGAACCGTTTGTAGAATTGTCAAGGACAGGAGAAAGAAATAGAGAGAGATAGCATGCGGAGGGAACACTCAACCTTCAGAAATATCTGAAAACAAGTTGATTAATAGACTTGTGTTCTCTTAGCAGTTTAACTTAATTCAACCCAAACTTCTCCTTCCTCTCCTTCATCTACAACATTAACCCCTAAGCCCTTACATCTTTTATCTATGCTCACATCAATCCCAGACCCATCACTCTGTTGACATATGGGTGAGGAAAACGAATGCTTAGAAAAAAAAAAAACAATTTTGAGCAGGGTTCATGAATGCAGATAGAATATCACCGGAGTAACAAATTTAAAAGAATGGATAGCAAAAGCAGCCCAAGATGTGATAGTTCTTACACAGATTAAACTGAAATAATAACAGATAAAATATTTCCAGCAGGATACCATGTTATGAGGAAAGAATGAGGAAACAGAAGAGTGGAACACGTAATAATAAATCACTGGAGATTTAATGAGATGAAAGAGATGAAAAGAAATAAGTCTAATGTTTACATGGCGGGGAGAATCAGTGATATACAACCCACCACCATACAGGACGAGACCGAGGGAGGAATGAAAAGATGATACACTGGTGGACCCCATAATAGAGACAGCAAGAAAAACACACATGACCACAACTAAGTTTCTTATCATGCGTAATTTGAACCCCCCAAAAATAGTCTGAGAGAATTCACACGGGGGACCAAAAATGTAGAGGGTTAGAGGTGATAGATGTGATGAAGAAGTGTGTCAGCAAGTATGGGACACAGTATGAGAGAGAAAGAGAATGGTACGAACCATCAACATTGGATCTGGTATTCATTGTAAGGGCATCTGATGAAGATAAAATACGTTATGAGAGGCATCTGGGCACAAGCAACCATACAATGCTAAGCTTCAAATATTTCGTGTAAAGTAAAGAATGAGGGAAGAAAAGCTTCAAGAAGATGAAACTAAGACGAGATGAAAGATTTTATAAAGACGTACAATAGGAATGTTCAGGAACGGGAACCAGAAGGGGAGTCAACGAATGCGGGAGACTAGTTAAAATCTACAGTAAGTCAATGGATGTGGACTAATTTTCAGAAACTTGAAAGACCTTAAATGTTGTTTCAGTATTTAATAAAAGAGAAAGACAGGAAGCATTGAAATAAAAGATTGTATCATTGACATGTATGCTATTTAAGATAATATAAAATATAATCCGAAAGGGAATAGTGGAGCTCCCGGCGATAAATAATTATATAAGCAACAGCCAACGCAAATTTAGAGATGACATGTCTTGTCACACAGTAACAGAAGTGAGGCAGGAGGAGAGAGAGAGATAAATAAATAAATAAATAAATAAATAAATAAATAAATAAATAAATAAATAAATATATATATATATATATATATATTATAATATATATATATATATATATATATATATATATTTTTTTTATTTTTTTTATTATCACACCGGCCGATTCCCACCAAGGCAGGGTGGCCCGAAAAAGAAAAACTTTCACCATCATTCACTCCATCACTGTCTTGCCAGAAGGGTGCTTTACACTACAGTTTTTAAACTGCAACATTAACACCCCTCCTTCAGAGTGCAGGCACTGTACTTCCCATCTCCAGGACTCAAGTCCGGCCTGCCGGTTTCCCTGAATCCCTTCATAAATGTTACTTTGCTCACACTCCAACAGCACGTCAAGTATTAAAAACCATTTGTCTCCATTCACTCCTATCAAACACGCTCAAGCATGCCTGCTGGAAGTCCAAGCCCCTCGCACACAAAACCTCCTTTACCCCCTCCCTCCAACCCTTCCTAGGCCGACCCCTACCCCGCCTTCCTTCCACTACAGACTGATACACTCTTGAAGTCATTCTGTTTCGCTCCATTCTCTCTACATGTCCGAACCACCTCAACAACCCTTCCTCAGCCCTCTGGACAACAGTTTTGGTAATCCCGCACCTCCTCCTAACTTCCAAACTACGAATTCTCTGCATTATATTCACACCACACATTGCCCTCAGACATGACATCTCCACTGCCTCCAGCCTTCTCCTCGCTGCAACATTCATCACCCACGCTTCACACCCATATAAGAGCGTTGGTAAAACTATACTCTCATACATTCCCCTCTTTGCCTCCAAGGACAAAGTTCTTTGTCTCCACAGACTCCTAAGTGCACCACTCACTCTTTTTCCCTCATCAATTCTATGATTCACCTCATCTTTCATAGACCCATCCGCTGACACGTCCACTCCCAAATATCTGAATACGTTCACCTCCTCCATACTCTCTCCCTCCAATCTGATATTCAATCTTTCATCACCTAATCTTTTTGTTATCCTCATAACCTTACTCTTTCCTGTATTCACCTTTAATTTTCTTCTTTTGCACACCCTACCAAATTCATCCACCAATCTCTGCAACTTCTCTTCAGAATCTCCCAAGAGCACAGTGTCATCGGCAAAGAGCAGCTGTGACAACTCCCACTTTGTGTGTGATTCTTTATCTTTTAACTCCACGCCTCTTGCCAAGACCCTCGCATTTACTTCTCTTACAACCCCATCTATAAATATATTAAACAACCACGGTGACATCACACATCCTTGTCTAAGGCCTACTTTTACTGGGAAAAAAATTTCCCTCTTTCCTACATACTCTAACTTGAGCCTCACTATCCTCGTAAAAACTCTTCACTGCTTTCAGTAACCTACCTCCTACACCATACACTTGCAACATCTGCCACATTGCCCCCCTATCCACCCTGTCATAACGCCTTTTCCAAATCCATAAATGCACAAAGACCTCTTTAGCCTTATCTAAATACTGTTCACTTATATGTTTCACTGTAAACACCTGGTCCACACACCCCCTACCTTTCCTAAAGCCTCCTTGTTCATCTGCTATCCTATTCTCCGTCTTACTCTTAATTCTTTCAATTATAACTCTACCATACACTTTACCAGGTACACTCAACAGACTTATCCCCCTATAATTTTTGCACTCTCTTTTATCCCTTTGCCTTTATACAAAGGAACTATGCATGCTCTCTGCCAATCCCTAGGTACCTTACCCTCTTCCATACATTTATTAAATAATTGCACCAACCACTCCAAAACTATATCCCCACCTGCTTTTAAACATTTCTATCTTTATCCCATCAATCCCGGCTGCCTTACCCCCTTTCATTTTACCTACTGCCTCACGAACTTCCCCCACACTCACAACTGGCTCTTCCTCACTCCTACAAGATGTTATTCCTCCTTGCCCTATACACGAAATCACAGCTTCCCTATCTTCATCAACATTTAACAATTCCTCAAAATATTCCTTCCATCTTCCCAATACCTCTAACTCTCCATTTAATAACTCTCCTCTCCTATTTTTAACTGACAAATCCATTTGTTCTCTAGGCTTTCTTAACTTGTTAATCTCACTCCAAAACTTTTTTCTTATTTTCAACAAAATTTGTTGATAACATCTCACCCACTCTCTCATTTGCTCTCTTTTTACATTGCTTCACCACTCTCTTAACCTCTCTCTTTTTCTCCATATACTCTTCCCTCCTTGCATCACTTCTACTTTGTAAAAACTTCTCATATGCTAACTTTTTCTCCCTTACTACTCTCTTTACATCATCATTCCACCAATCGCTCCTCTTCCCTCCTGCACCCACTTTCCTGTAACCACAAACTTCTGCTGAACACTCTAACACTACATTTTTAAACCTACCCCATACCTCTTCGACCCCATTGCCTATGCTCTCATTAGCATATCTATCCTCCAATAGCTGTTTATATCTTACCCTAACTGCCTCCTCTTTTAGTTTATAAACCTTCACCTCTCTCTTCCCTGATGCTTCTATTCTCCTTGTATCCCATCTACCTTTTACTCTCAGTGTAAATATATATATATATATATATATATATATATATATAATATATAATATATGTATATATATATATATATATATACATACATATATATATATATATATATATATATATATATATATATATATATATATATATATATATATATATATATATATATATATATATATATATATACAGGGAAGTGCCACCTCTATAGCTGGAATGGGGACCCTCATCCTCAGAGAAGACAATAAACGTGCCTCAGGAAAAACTCAAGGTTCTCCCAGGAGCTGTTTGAATATTTTCTTCTCCTACCATCCCCTATATTTTATATTCTATGTGAACATTTATTAATAAACAGAATACATTTGCAGAAAAAGACAAACATGAATACAATGGCACAATGTATTAAAGATCGTGAATTTCCTCCAGTTCCTCCGAAGCCAGACGAGAGCCAAGTATACAGCAAGCACTTCCCCTCTGGATGGCCACGATGAGGTGCTGGAACATGAAAGTGGCTGTCCTTGGGTCCCTGGTGGTGTCGATGAGTCTGGAACCCAATTCTTTAAGGAAACGTGTGGCATTTTTTCCCCTTGATCCCAAGGTCTCTGATCCCACTGGGATAAATTGATACTGTTGGCTTATGTCCCTGTACTTGCTGATCTTGTACTCCTCCCTGTGGTCAGCAGCTCCTCCCTGTCACCCAACACTATGAAAGATGTAGGTGTCAGCCAGTGTGGACACACAGGTATAGTCCCATGCTAAGAGCTTGCCATTCTTCCAAGGATAGATGGTGATCCCATCGGGGCGGTTTGCTGGGTTGTGGGTATTGTTTGCTGCAAGTGATCGGGGCTCCCTCTCGGCAGGGCATCCAGCTGTAGCAAGGGTTCTCTTAATGATGTCGTTGACCTCATTGTGTCTTGCATGCCAGCCCTTGGTTTTGGAACAGTTAAGACCATGTAGACCGTATTGGTCTGCTTGCGCTTCGCCGCAAATACACATATATTTTGTGTGAACTGGAGCAGCAAATCACAGAGCCACTGCAATACGGAGAGTCTTAGGGTCGAGTCGCGTTCCCATTGCCGATATGGGAACTGTTTGGAGGAAGTCCCCGGAGTGAGGTGCGCTCACATCCTGGAGATGGGCAGTTTTTGGAGAAACTGCAGTTTTTGAAGCAATACAATGCTATGGAACAATACAACTTTATATATCTATACCTTTGTTTATCTATCCTGATATATTTTCTCCATGATGTCTTGTTGAGACTGTTCGAGCGGATTTTTATTTCACAGAACTGAAATTGAACCTCGAGTCTGGGAACGAAACTAAGAGCAGACTTAAACGTCTTATAATGGTTGGTGCTATAAATTTTAACCATTGTGAATTTACAAATAAAGCTGATTTGTGAATTATTCTGAATACAACAAAAGCAGTTTAGAGTATAATTATTCGCTACCGATGTATGTTTAATGAATAAACATGAGAGTTGAAAATATTTGAGTAATGTAAACAAAGTGGTGAAGAGCGGATCGTCGTCGACACAATATCTTTCAAGTTAAATAACTAGACTTTTTATTTGCATTACCGGTACAGTCAGTAAATGTAAAAAATAGAATTCCCAGAGGTTAACATCAGATAATCACCATCACTCACATCTTAATCATACTGGAAGATGGACCAGTTATTACACTACGTGATGCAATACAACAAATTAACAAAAATTAATATATTCTCAGAAACTTGCAGAGAATGTACCACGAAGTTAACCAAAAAAACATTAAAAGCAATCTTGGCTAATATATTATCAAATAAATCAGTTATATTAATGTTAAACAATTATATTAACCTGTGGTAGTTTACTTAAATTACCCGTTTTTGTGAAGTCTTGAGCAATGTAAGACCTTATGGCATTATCAACATCAATGAGGACATGGTCGCCCCGCCGCACCAAAGTATCTAATGCTTCGGCGAACTCTGAATGTGTTCTCCATATAAGTCGACCAGTCTTCTCAGCATCAGCTACCTCCCGGTATATACCAGAATTCGCTGACTGAAAGCAATAATTATTAAGGAGTGTATATATATATATATAATATATATATATATATATATATATATATATATATATATATATATATATATATATATATATATATATATATATTAATATATATATATATATATATATATATATATGGATTGAACATTAAAATGGTATAAAATACCGACAGGTTGTTAGGTAAGACACATATGCAACAGTTGGGTATCTTACCTAACAACCTGTCGGTATTTTATACCATATTAATGTTCAATCTGTCAGACACTGCAACACAAGGGTTCTCTTTATGATGTTGTTGTCCTCATTGTGTCTTGCATGCCAGGCCTTGGTTTTGGAACAGTTAAGACCATGTAGACCGTATTGGTCTGCTTGTTTTTCGCTGCAAATACACGTATATTCTGTGTGAATTTGGGAAGCAAGGCGCGGCGCCACTGCAATACGGAGGGTCTTAGGGTCGAGTCACGTTCCCATTGCCGATATGGGAACTGTTTGGAGGAAGTCCCCAGAGTGAGGTGCACTCACAGATGTTGCAGCCCTGAGCATGTTGGCAAGCACCTTTTCAGTTATTGGGCCATCCCAGCTTGACTGTTTGTGAGCCAGTGCTGCACTAGGGTTTGGTACTGGAGCAGCAAGACTCTCCCATTCAGTAATGGCACTGGCATAGCTAGGGTCCTGTATTCCTGCTGAGTCACTGAGGTTATCAGGAAGAATTTGTCTTATGAACTCGTTTGATGCTATGGAAGAGGACAGGAAAGCTGGTAGAGCGATCTGGGAGAATCTGCGTACTGCCAGCCCCCCAAGCCTGACCGGAAGTGAGGCTTGCAACCACTTTCCATCTTCAAGGGAAAGATTCAATGCACTCTCTAGCATGGTCTTAAGGAGAGAGTCATATTCCTTGAGTTTCGGACTGCTGAAGGCTGGGGAGCATCTCAGAAAGTAGGTAAATTCTGGGATTGACAGGCACCTGGTGAGTAGGTAGAAGGCATCATGTGTGTCAGTGTCTTTCATCCTGCTTTCCATCGTCCGGAGGTCTGAGACTTTTTTTTCTAGGATCAGATCGATGGCATTGGACCCAAGAGGAGCACCAAGGAGAGTGCTATTGGCTGGATCAATGGCTCGTTCTCCTGGTAAAACCTAGCTAATATTCTGGATCATCTGTTTATTGGTAGAAACTATTTCACATTTGGTGGGGTTTAAAGAAAGGCCCAGGCTTTCTCCCATGTCTTTAATTTTACTGATGTCCTCTAGGAGAGATTTTGTTGTGCCAGCTAGGGTGCCATCGTCCAGGAACCAGATATTGAGCTCACTGGAGAGTGCTTCTGTGACTTTCTTCATGACCAAACAGAATAGAAAGGGGGCGACAGGGTCCCCTTGTTGCACGCCCTCACATGAGTCAATTTCATGGTCCCCAAACAATAGTTTGGAAGTCACACTATAACACGATTCTATGAAGGGATATGGGAAGGGAAGTTTCTATAAACTGCTTGGAGAGCAGCATCCTTTCTGACTGAGTTGATAGCGTTGGCAAAGTCCAATTTGACCAAGGTTTTTTCATCGGGCATGTTGTTGATATATACTCATGCTGCGTGGGTAGCTGCTTCACAGCCCTGTTGAATGCCAAAACCTAGCTGAGTTGGTTTCAGCATTGCAGCAGCCTCTTGACTCACCCTTCTTACTGCAACCTTGGAGACTAGGCGCCGACGGATGTTGCCCACTACAATGGACCTGATTCTGCCATCCTTTTTCCGGAGGGCACACAATGAGGCACCAAAGAAAAGGGGTCTGATGGGCTCTGGAATACTGCCAGGCAGGCACAGGTTGGAAAATTTGGTGAGTTCAGACAGCAGCCTCTCTGATACATCACCAAGTGCTGGATTGAGTATTTGTTTAAAGTGTTGAGGCCTTAAACCGGTGAAGCCTTCTGCTGAGCCCTGTGGAAATAACATATCAGCTTTATACACATCAGCATCCTGTAAGGTTAGATGTTCTTTGCCTGCTGCAATGTCAGGGAGGTCAATGTTGGTATTGGGAGCCCTGGGTGTATGTTTGTCCTTCAGAGCTTGCGCCGTGCTGACATCCTTGCGAACGATGGTATCCTCACTGGTTATAAGCCTCAGAGCTTCAATAGTATTACCTTCTTCTATTTTTTTGCTAATTTGGGCTCTGATTTTTGAGGCGTCGGGTGTCCTGTTGTTGGCATTTGCCCGGTGGGTGTTTGTCGTCCTAGGGGGGAGACGGAGGAGGTTGTCATCCCTTGGGAATGCATTTATTGCCCTGGTAACATGTGTTGCTAGTGACTTGTCCCTCCTTGGTCGGAAAGCCAAACAGGCATTGCCAAAAAGCAGCAGGTTGTGCCAGGATCTGTTGTTTGAAGGAGCTTCGTTGACTTTCTTCAGAATGTCAGTGAATTTGCTAGCAGCTTGAGGGCGAGCTGCTTTGGGGATGTGTGTCAGAGTCCTGATGGATGTTAATTTGATTGCAGATTTGATGTCCTCTGTAGAGGTGAAGTCACGGTAGCTGTCAGCGCTGTCTGCTTGGAGGGGCTGTTGGTTATCATTTGGAGCTCTCCTGGAGCCTAGACATCCATTGTGTGCATGGATGTTGCCAGTTGAGGGATTGAGTGCACATTCCCTGTAGCACACCCGGCAGATGCCTCGTGAACGACGGCTTTGGCCCTGTCGTGAAGATTCCTGGGAACCTGCGACTACTTGTGACATTTCTGATATCGTAGGGGTGGGAGGGCGCCAGCTGTGGGGTGACGGGTGAAGGACAGCATGGATGCATGGGAGATGAGGGTGGGGGAGTAGCGGGAGAACTTGTAATTAGTGTCCCCTCATGGAAGGTTCCTTGATGTTGGTGAGGGGCTCTTGATTTAGGGAATTGGAACTGTGCTCCAGTTCCCCGACTTAAGCCTGAATGCCTTCCACATCCCCCCCCCGGGCGCTGTATAATCCTACGGGTTTAGCGCTTCCCCTTAGATTATAATAATAATAATAATAATGTAATTAGTGTGACAATAAACGGCAACACCCTTGATCAGGAAGTCAGTGGGCCTAGGCTGGGATGATGGGAGGGGATCATGGATTGGGGGCGGAGGGAGTGGTTCTGTGTGTTCGCTAAAGATGCACATCACTGAATAATTTTTGCTAATTGTTATGCACTTAATATTCTATTTAGAAAAAACCCTCGCCAGTTAGCACACTAATTCAATTCAGTTCAATTCAAGTTTATTCTCTATAAGGGTTACAATGTGGGGTTTACAGGTTTTGGGTATTGTGTGGTTTACATGTTATAAAATACTAATTACAGAGGGGGCCACTAGGACACCTAGCATGGCTAGGCATTTCGGGCAGACTTAGATTAATTCTTAATCCTTACAGGATTAAGGCAAACTTATGACTACTTAGGATTTATTATTTTAAGACTAAGATTAGTATTTCTGGGCTTATAGTCAGTGGGTGAATGAGTGTAATTGTGAACCACCAGGTGGTTATCATGTAGTTAGTTGCCTCACTATTAACCGAGGTGTTCTTCTGTTGAGCATCCAGTGACGGTGTCGTGAATGGCCACTTCCTCCCCCAATCCCCGACCCCGGCCGGACACAGAGGTAAACAAAACCTCCTTCCACACCACCACTGGCAGGATCCCCTCACCACCGCTACTCCCCAAATCCCAACATGCACACTGCACTTTCACTGATACAGAAGCAACGGTCTGATGCAGAGGATTGTCACAACTCTGTAATCTCCGGTGGATACTCACGATGATGTCTGCCAAAACTAACCCATGTAAACCATGTTGGTTCTTGTGTGTGTGTGTGTGTGTGTGTGTGTGTGTGTGTGTGTGTGTGTGTGTGTGTGTGTGTACTCACCTATTTGTGGTTGCAGGGGTCGAGTCTTAGCTCCTGTGTGTGTGTGTGTGTGTGTGTGTGTGTGTGTGTGTGTGTGTGTGTGTGTGTGTGTGTGTGTACTCACCTAGTTGTACTCACCTAGTTGAGGTTGCGGGGGTCGAGTCCAAGCTGCTGGCCCTGCCTTTTCACTGGTCGCTACTAGGTCACTCTCCCTGAACCGTGAGCTTTATCATATCTCTGCTTAAAGCTATGTATGGATCCTGCCTCCACTACATCGCTTCCCAAACTATTCCACTTACTGACTACTCTGTGGCTGAAGAAATACTTCCTAACATCCCTGTGATTCATCTGTGTCTCCAACTTCCAACTGTGTCCCCTTGTTGCTGTGTCCCATCTCTGGAACATCCTGTCTTTGTCCACCTTGTCAATTCCTCTCAGTATTTTGTATGTCGTTATCATGTCCCCTCTATCTCTCCTGTCCTCCAGTGTCGTCAGGTTGATTTCCCTTAACCTCTCCTCGTAGGACATACCTCTTAGCTCTGGTACTAGTCTTGTGGCAAACCTTTGCACTTACTCTAGTTTCTTTACATGCTTGGTTAAGTGTGGGTTCCAAACTGGTGCCGCATACTCCAATATGGGCCTAACGTACACGGTGTACAGGGTCCTGAACGATTCCTTATTAAGATGTCGGAATGCTGTTCTGGGGTTTGCTAGGCGCCCATATGCTGCAGCAGTTATTTGGTTGATGTGCGCTTCAGGAGATGTGCCTGGTGTTATACTCACCCCAAGATCTTTTTCCTTGAGTGAGGTTTGTAGTCTCTGGCCCCCTAGACTGTACTCCGTCTGCGGTATTCTTTGCTCTTCCACAATCTTCATGACTTTGCACTTGGTGGGGTTGAACTCCAGGAGCCAGTTGCTGGATCAGGTCTGAAGCCTGTCCAGATCCCTTTGTAGTTCTGCCTGGTCTTCGATCGAATGAATTCTTCTCATCAACTTCACGTCATCTGCAAACAGGGACACCTCAGAGTCTATTCCTTCTGTCATGTCGTTCACAAATACCAGAAACAGCACTGGTCCTAGGACTGACCCCTGCGGGACCCCGCTGGTCACAGGTGCCCACTCTGACACCTCGCCACGTACC